TGGCAATGATTAGATAATTCTTTAAATGATATAAATTTTGTGCATTCTGAGGTTACAATAGGAACGAAATATAATACTGGTAAGTGAACCTATCGCCATAGTGTCGCTCGGGTAAACAAATAGAGTGAATTTTAAAGAATGCATTTATTCTATTATGGTTTACGCGCTGTCGGCGAAAATTTAATTCAATCCAATTAGTTTAAATGAAATGCAAGAAAAAATGCGTATAATTTAATATTCCGCACAAGGAAGTCATGTGGTGTACACATCATATTTTTTCATTATTATTGCATACTAATATATGAAAAAAATTGTAATTTTTTATACGTTGCTTTTATTTCAAATATTTACATTCTGAAAACACTCCCTCAGTTTTTCAACACTGGGATATCAGTTTCTTAAACTTTACTCTGATTCAGAAGGGATGCACTTATTTCTACGCACACAAAGAGAATGGTATTAAATTAAAATTTACTGCTAAATTTTTATAAATGAAGCAAAAATGTATTTTAAGTTTTTAATTCTTAAGGGTGTCACATGTTTATAAATATTACTGCTTTTGAAGGCTCCAGATAACATTTTAATTTCATTTAAAACTACTAAAATGTCTAAAGTTTAATGAGACAGGGACGACTTTCAGATCTAATTTACATATGAGCCTGTATACCAAGAACATACTCCTGGTATGCATGTTCATACAGAATGGCACACCTGCGTCAAATCTAAAATCCTCTTTTATAAACCAGCTATATTTATTTGCCAATGTGATTCGATCCATTTCGCTTGTAAAGCAGATTGTTGCTTTTATCATTTTATATTGAATCTGCTCTATTTTCTACATTTAATCCATCGTCAGAATATGTGCTATGACATGAAGCGTGGATTCTTTGTATCGCGCAAGAATGATTTCAGTATGAGACATCGTTATACATTAAGATGATTTCCAGAAATGTTTTTTATTCTAGCTTAATTTTTCAAACATAAAATTTCCATCAAGTCCATGCCTCTTTCGTTTGAAACTATTGTGTACTGATAATCAAAATATGTGTACTTCGCTTTCGATCTCTTCATTTATTATTCTATATTTTTGGCTTGGCAATTTCTACAATTTTTGACATTTTGAAAGTTCAGAAAGCTGACAATTAGCGCATTCTCTCTAAATCTGTATATAGTTATAAGTTTTACGTCCTATTTATATCCCAACTATTTTTTTAAATTTTATATATACTGGATGAGCAGAATCATGTATATTTTGTTCCAGAAACACTGACAGCATAAAGTAGGAAGGCATTCTTTATTAGGTTAACTTATAAATACAAACTAAAAAAACTTTTTGAATAGGTGGAAATAGATTATCTTTTATGTATTGAACGTATGGTAACTAAATTTGGTATTTTAAATTTTTGTTCAGTAATTTAAAAGAATTAATTTAATTACAGAAGAAAATCAACCCCAGTTTTACCCATTAAGTTTCATTTTCCTGCATTTAAGATTCAAACTAAAATGAAGTACGGAAAGTAGACATTTTTACTCATTTAAATATGATTATAAAAGTTCAGAAAGGATTAAAATTAAACCCATCAACTGTTTCTGCTTTAAAATGCTTTCTTTCAACACAGTCTACTGACATTGACTTGGTAATAAAACTGGTGGTTCCGGAAACCATCCTTTCTCAAATTTGTTTCTCATTAAAAAAAAAAAAATTCGGCAAAAATATTTCATGAAATTGTCCTTTCTAAATTTCTACTTAACAAGTCCTCCCTCCAAAAGACTGTTTCATGAAATACGAATGAAAACATCAAATATGCAGAAATTGACTTATCATTGAAATTTTAAAATAATTTTCGAATGCTTAAGAACTACAGAAAAGTTTTCATCTATTTTACTGAAAGAATTGGGAATAATAAAAAGATTTTTTTCAGTACATAATCATTCTAGCTTTATTAACGTAATTATGTAGTATTTATTTTTTATAAGTTTAATTTAAAATCTGGTTGTATAGTTATGTTTTATTTCTTAATTGTATCATTAAAATGAGAACTTTGACAGTCATTTTTTGTAATACACATAATAGCGTGCGATTAATTTAGCATGCGAAGTATTAAAAATAATCCCTACGAATACAGAAAATACGGTCTTCTATTAGTATAGTATATCACAGATTTGCAGTATATTCATGAATAAAACTTTTTTTTTCTTATGATCTTTACCTTCCCGCGACCAGTTAAATAGCTACTTTTTAAGGTGCTGCCATTCAGCGTGGCTTAAGATACTGAATTTATGTTTCAAATAATACCACTATTCGCTTAACAAATTGAACATTTTAAAGAGATAAAGCAATCCTTAATAATCTGCTGTGCCATTACTAACTGTGTGTCCGTGGGTTATCAATGTAAAAACCCCCGTAGGTCGCAGGTGACAATTACACTGTCAGACAATCTGAAAAGTAAGGAGTATGGCTTGTAAGGATTAAAAATATTGCCGGTGACCTACGGGGTTCATTGCGACTATCAACTTACGAAATACTGATTACCTAGGATTTAATTAATTTTCGTAAAATGTCTGTAACTGATGAAATTTTAGAAACTTTTAAATTATAATATATTCAATTAATAATATTTGCGCCAATATTCAAATTAACAAAGGTATTTTCTATGCCATATACTGAGTGATTCATATAGAATCAGTTAGATCTATTTATAATTAAATAAAGCCTTATACCTCTCCTATGTTTGCTTTATTCATAATATTATAATATTAGTAATGCATATGTAATTTTAACTGTATTTGCATAAAAGAACTTGTATTACAGAAAAAGGATTTGAGTCTCTTTTTTTACAAAAATTATACTTTGTAGTATTTTGCAAATAGCAGGGATTGAATTTCTCTGCTATTTATTCAGAAGAGGGAAAATAAACTGGCATTTACACATAATATCAATGTATACCAAACATAATATTTTACTATTTGTAAGAATAGTGCATTAAAATGTAAGAGTTATAAATCAAGTATTAATGAAAAATAGCATCCCTGATGTAGCTAATATTAATAACATTCAGCTTGTTAATCATTAATAAATAGTCTAGCTGACATGATATTTAAAAGTCTTTATCATTAAACGATATAAACAGAAGTTGCATAAATTTAGTAATTACACCTAAAAGAGCTAATTACAATCTTAATTTTTACAGTCGCGCTTCGATTGAAAAGAGCAATTTCATTAACATTTACCTCTTCATGAACAGCCTTCGCGACCAATTAGCGAAAGCTTTGATTCAACTTCCTCAAGATGTTCCTTTTCCTTTTGTACTCACTAAACTCAAAATAATTCAAAAGCAAACCTTTTAACAATAGAGCATAATGCGATGATGGCAGGTTAGAAGAAATGCGCTCTTCTATTAATAAAAGCGTGTGGGATTATATTTTCTGGAGGATTTCTTGAAAGATAGCAATTTGGAAGGCGAAGGAAGATTACCAAAAGTTACATTTTTCGGTAGGCCTAAAGAAAGCCTTTAGGGAATGAATCCTTTCAAGGCTTAATGACTTGACTGAAAAATGTCTCATTTGTCGATGCAAAGGCCTTTTCTCTTTTGGTCTCACTCTTTGGCGTAGTTTATGCGTCCGGTGAATAAAGATTTTTTTTTCCTTTTTTTCGAAATTAATTAACACAGACTAAGAATTAAAGCAAAGCTGTGACCTTTAAACAGAACTTTTGTCTCTGGTAAAGCATCCATATGGCATTTAATTAGGATATTGTATTCTCTACTTGTATGTATAAATTATGTTAATTAAAGCAGGTACTGTAATTAAGTATGCTACAGGTAAAATATTATGAATAAGGCAAATGAATGTCTGTAAGAGGGAGACAATGGACTATGAAAGATAAAATTTTAAAAGTATTGTAAATTTAATATGATATATGATACATGTCGCTATGTTTGATTTTTCTGCGAAAAACTATAATTTCTGAGATAAATGCATTATTGCATCCATCATAAAGGTTTCTGTCATCGATTTTTATTTTTGTCAAATTATTTTTATCAATTTTATTTCCTTCGCTGTTAATTCCTCCGAAATAAGTTCACTCATCCCTTTTCCGTCTGTTTGTGATGTGACTGACATATATATAGGTTTTCTCTCTTCAAGCATAGTGCTTCCTTTTTGATTGAAGTGTTCTAAAGTTTCAGAAAATGGTACTAGAAGGCAAACGCTTTGCGATGTTCATTCGCGTTGTTTACAGTGTCTGTAGGATTTATATGAAAATTATTTCTCTAAGGCGAAGCAAAATATTTGAAATTTTCAAATAATATTCCTTAAACATGGTTTATTTCTAGATCTGGAGTTTCTGTCCTGATTTGTAGCACGAACGGAATGAGCAGATGATATATGTTTAAAATATACACACATTTTAAGCAATCCTTTTAATTTTTGCTTTGGCCTAAATTTGCCTTTTCTAAAGCTTTTACGAATAGTCAAGGGGTATGAGAGGGTGATAATTCACACTGGATACACCACTGCTATAACTGCACTAAGAGCGTATTAAACCTATATATATGGCCTTGCCTCTAACCGGCAAGGCCGCATATATACGGCCTGGAATATTTTTTGTGCTATCTATAAGAACGTAAATATACATGCGTATTAAAATATGTCAAAGAAATTAAGCCAATATATTAAAAGTACAGAAATCCAGGTATAAAATACCAGGAGAAGTTTTACATTAAAATCAAGAAAATAATGTTTTCTCGTAGTAGTTTTGGGAAATTTGTTCTTTCTTAGCGAAACCCTTCGCCGCTCAGAGGATTAAGGGGGTGTGGGGTGATGGAGTTTAATGAACTTCTTTTATTTCAGCACAGCGATACAAAACTTGTATCCAAATAAAAAATATGTAATGGATTTATTTCCTTGTTTCAGTAAAAAATTAAAAGAAGATAAATTGCGCAAAATTACATTCATTTATAAAAAATTAGGTAAATGAAAAAATATTCTTTTTAACTTACACTGAACCCGAAGATTGACTTCATCGCTTATACTTTCTCCTTCCAGATTTGAAGCAAGACATCTGTAGGGGCCTCGGTGGCTTCGCCGGACGTTCTGAAGGAGTAATGTGTAATTTCTCAGAATCACGCCATTTGATGGATCATGCATTAACAGCTTGTTCTTGAATCTCCAGCGAACATCCGTAACTGGAGGATTTGCCATGATATTGCAATCGAAATACACATCGCTCCCTTCGCGTATTAGCTCATGCTGCTGGCTTACTCCGAAAGACACCGTTAAGATTGGGGCATCTGTAAAGGAGAACATAATCATTATTAAATTTTCAAAGATAATTATGATGATAATAACCATGGAATTGACTGGAAGAAGCCGCCAAAATAACGCATCCACTGATGCTTAAAGAATATCTTTACGTTTTACATTTGTTGAAGACATATCAACTAAACGAGTCTTAAGATCACGTTGCTAGAATTTTTAAGGTAATATTGGCAAACATATTTTTAACCAGCATCTGTTATTTTAAAATTATTTTCTGCTTGTCATTTTCTGCTGTATAGTTACAACTCCTCAACCGCAACCATGTGTGTAAACACGCATGCGCATTCGCGCCGATTTTTTTCTCAAAATAGGGTGGATGGGAAGTAATCATGTAGTAGGGAACTTTCCCGTTGTTATAGTATTTTCTCTAGATTTTCCACGGCGTTCAAAGAGCACAGTCATAAGAAGACAAATTACTTTTAAGTAATCTAAGCTGTCATACTGCTCATCATTTATAATTAACTGTTTTATTACATTGTGTTGAATTTTATGCATTTATTTATTTATATTCATAAAAATAAGAGTGTTTTCCAATTTTTTATTATATATATTATTTTATAATAGAACATAATAATAAATTTTATTGTATTATATTTTTTATTCAATTATTACATTCAATTGGATGATTTTTCGTCATTATATAATTATTACAATGAATTCTGATAACGTAATTATTATTAAAATTAATTATAATACTTATACGACAAGAAATAACTATTAAAATTATATTATAATTGATAATTATTCTGTCTTCCTTATCTTTGAGATAAAATATAGTTCTGAAAAGTTTCTGGTTCTTTTCGTGGACTGTTTGAAGAGAATGCTATTTACATTCTCAATTTCCATATCACAAAATGTAATGACATTATAACCAAGCACCACTGTAAAACGCCTTACTTTCACGAACTGTACTTATTTTAATAATAAAAAGAAACTATCACTTACACTTGCATAAGAGGCCACAGTATTAGCAAACGTCACGTTTGCAAAATCAACTACGACCTACGTAAATTCCGCTCAAATGCAGTGAAAACCTATTCATCGGTTTCTTTTTTTTCCCTTCAAAAAGAATACTTCCGCTATACTATATAAGTTCAGGATTTTTAGTGACCTCATCTTTCAAAGTGAGTATTGAAATATGCATTGTTACAAAATTCATTTATTATGGAAAAGATCAACATTCTTGGTTTCCGGGCTGCAAACTCCCTGTGTACTGAGGATTTCAGTCAAATATGAACCGTAGCCGAGAAAGACAACTGATGACAGGATCACCCGATGTCATGCGGACTTTCCCCCTTTCGGTCGAATAAATTTCCTTTTCTTGGCAAAGAAAGAACCTTCACATGACTTCTCATCTCACGGCATGTAATTAACGCCTATTTTGGACGATTCTATGTGTTTTGGCAGAATGCCAGCCAAGGTTGCTCTTGAAACCATCGAACTATATCAGCTGCAGCACTTACATCATATTCTAAACAATCCCTGGAAGATTTTAAAATAAAACTTGGTTTGAGCTTTGTTTAGATTATCGTCCTTTGTTGCAAAATACGACCCTTTAATTTTGATTCCCACCTTGAGGATAAAGAAAATGGACGAAAAAAGAAATAAGAGAGTGCCGAAAATTTCGTTTTTGTCGAAATCGTTTGCTTTTTCAAGAAACAATGGCCATGCGCCTTATTCGCAGTGAAGATATCAGTTTTAAGAAAGGAAACTTACTGCAAGTGCTCTCCCGTAACGACCTCAGAACATCACACTAAAACGTCTGATTAGTCATCTGACCAAAAGGGTATTATTCCCTTTGAACAATACATTCCTAATTAAAATTAATTAACACTCTCTTTATTATTTACTGTATTCTCGTGCTTAGTTGGGTTTTGATCCTTAACTATAATGTCTGTTACTTAGAGCCATAAATATGGACAGCTATCGATGGATTTTCTTAAAACAGGGATTCTGTAGATGACATTTAGGCCGAACTGAAATGGGAGCTAAGTGTTCAGTTAAATGATTTACACACTATATTCAAGTCATAAGTCAAGAGTTGGGTTCGGTGCTCGATAATTTTAATCATGTTTCACAGTGGGTCTATTTGAAAAGACTGGAGTACAAATTTAGCTTAGGTACATTTACAAACTCCGATTACTCTCGTACACTTTGAACAATGTACTAATTATTCTCGAAGCTTACAAACCGAGTTTCCAAAGTAACACACAATAATTACATGTCAGAAAGTAAGCAATGCTAACAATGATTTAGCCGTTGTTCTGTGTTTCGTAAATTCATTTTGAGCTAGTGATTAACTGAAAAAATATTTAAAAGTTTTGAATAACTAATTTAAAATGTAAAGAATTTGATTTTTATTCAGAAAGTAATTAAAAATTCATATTACAAACCATAGTCCCAATTTGGAAGAGATTAAACAATGCGTATATGAATAATGTATTTTGTAAATGAAAGCAAAGCCTGACATTTAATGAAATGAAGGATTATGAATAAAGGTGTTAGTTAGAAACAGCGAATAGTAAATGCACTTAATTATTTAACTCACTTGTAAGAAATTTGAGTAGTTATGCATATTAACGTATTTTCTCTAATATGTTTTTTTTTCCAGTGGCGGACGTCAGCCTTTTATAGGTGTTGGTTACTGTTAAGGCCGGAAGTGGAAGCCTCTTTAGTATGGAAACACCTGATGGGCCACTTTTGTCTCCTATGAACGGACAGACAAATTACATACATGCCTTCTCTGGAATTGGAATCCAGGATTTTTCTGCGGCAGTCAGAGTCATTAACTTCTTTCCCGTCTGGGTGGCACTTTTCTCTAATATGAAAATCGATGTTTTGATGTATCAAACTTTAAATCCTAAATGATTCCATTAATTTACCATAATTAAAAGTATTTAATATGATATACGAATATAGTGCAAAGTAGTAGGAAAATACATCGTTATCGAAGAAACTGAACAATGACAGTTGAGAGATTCTAATACCAAGCTGAACAAAACTTTAAGTGAAAATATCAAAAGAAATCAAAGTGAGCTTTGATTAAATACATTTTTTCCCTTTCAAAATTATCGGGTTTCAAAGAAGCACTCTATTTTTATATAAAATAATCTGCGATGGAAAACCAACCTTTATAAACCAAATAACCTTTATTTTCCTAGACGATTATTTTAACTGCAGCTGCATTTTGGCCGCCATGATAATGTTACTCTTTGAAAAATTTGATATTGCATTACTGTTTCTCCAGTGTTTTCTATCTGATTTATTTGCAGTGTGTTGATATTTCGCATATATTCTCGTTTCACGAAACAACAGTATGATTTATTGTGATACCCACTTTATAAATCTGATAAATGACACGCTACCAAAGAAGTAGGGATCAGTTTTCTCGAACTGCGATCTCTGTATTTGTGAGATACAGCTTCATAAAAAATTGCTGCTTTCAAAGAGAGGAGAGATATTTGGGACTCATAGTTTTGAATAACTTTTATTACTTTATGAAAAGACGGGCCATTTGATGCAATTCTGCAAAATGCCTGCTACAATCTGAAAGAAAACCTGGACCAACACTTTCTTTAAAAGCAATAATTTGAATTCTAGAAAGGCAAAAATTCAGAGTTGTGCAGAGTCTTGAATATATTTATGAATTTCTAAATTAAGGCTTCAAATGCATGATGTTTCTTACATTCGGGAGTGTAGGAATTGGAAATCGTATTTACTGAAAATTCTCAATTTTTTTTAAATCATCTATTTTATTATTTTTATTATTAATTTTTCAGGCAACAAATTTTAATTACCATTAATAATTGCTAAACAATATATAATCAGATTTGTATAAGTTAATATTATACTTAGTTTGCAGTATCTATTAAGTTTTTCTGAAGCAGAAAATTCAAAAAAATCAAAATCATTTATACTCTCCCTGAGATTCGAATCACAGATCTTCCAGCTCCAAGCAGAATGTTTTAACAGCTTATACCAATAACAAATACTAACTACTATACCGATTAGAGTAGCTGATGGTTTGTATGATGCCCCGACTAAAACATACGATGAATCATAACATATGCACCGCTTAGATTTATCGAACTTGTTATAGTGCTTCTTCAATTTCACCGTTCAGGTGTGGGGAGAGAGATAGTACAGTTATTGCATTCTGCCGTGCATGCTGTCGCAGTGAAGGGGTTAGAGCGTCCAGCTAGCACTCTGTGAGTCGAATCTTAAAGATCGCACAGTTCCAATTTTATGCCTTCTTCAAAAACAACTTAACTCTACAATCTGCTCCTTAATTTTTATCCAATAGTTTATGTACTTAATTTTCAGGCACCAAAAACATAATCACAAAAATAAACATTTTATTTGAATGCATATTCCGAATAGTATAAATTTGAAATATCTAGAAAAACTCTCATTATTTTTAATTTTGTAATTTGACAGTCAATTAGAATTACAGAAGTTTCAGCAACTCGCTATCTTTTTTGTTCAAATGTATTTCTTGGAAATTTGCATTTCACGTGCACTTGGTAAGAGCTGAGAGAGACGTCTTTAATTATAAATTTAAAAATCTACAGCCACACTAGCCGAACCTGGCAGCCAGTCAAAAACCTGAAACATATTGCGGTTTCCTACATTAGTGTATGAGGTGTGAGGCGGCATTTAAAGGCGGTTGTCTGCTCCAGTGCATCACGGTCTCATTGGCGTTGCTTAAACATGTTCATGATGCAGTGCATATAGTTCCAGAGCTATAAAGTCTCGATGCCTGGGCCTATTAGCGCTACTAGACCGTTCTGTTATCAAGTATTGTTCTCCGGATCGTTTTGCCAAGACTCAGAGGCAGCGCCGTAGTCATCTTTTTCTCTTAATTGCCATAATACAGAAAATTGTACCTAGTTCGAAAGCTTAAGCTGTGCTTTTCTATACCTGAGTGTATCAATAAAGAGATATCCTTTTTATGCGCTAAATAGTC